TGGTCACAAATCATAATCGCAAAGGGTTTGACTGCTCCCATGAGACTCTGACACGTTTCTCTACTTCCAGCTGCCCAAACGATGGGACCCCGCCCATCCAGCGCTGCGGCCGCAGCTGCAGCAGCTCCTGTGCACGGTGTGCCACAGTACAAATACGCTGCAGGTGTGCGCAACCCTCAACAGCACCTGAACGCTCAGCCCCAGGTAGCCATGCAGCAGGTAAGGTCCTTTTGGGGGTATCAGCTTGTTCAACAAGGTACACTAAAGTGCTGCTTACATGGATGGCTACCATCTCACCAAATTGATTTGGATGAGGGAAAAACCCTTGAGGGGAGGGGTATTGGGTAGGCTTGGGCGGTATTACAATAATACCCCCTCCCCCCGCACTTAGGTAATATTATCAGGAAATTCTGGTATAGCACTGCTTTTTAAAATACTATCAAATGACCATTTATCACATGTCTGGACTATATGATGGTAACTCTAGTTGGCAGGTGAGGGCATGGGGAGACTTGTAGGCGAAGCAGCCAGAGCAGCTGGTCCAGGGCCCCCCGTGATGTCAAGGGCCCCCCTCTGACTGTATGCTAAATATTTGTGAAGATTAAGGCACTGATATCACAGGCACTCAATGGGCTGATCATGTGCTACTTTTATGTCTCTCATTTTTATGTACATAATCTCATTACAGTGGGAGTCATAACACAAAAAAATATTTGGTACAATACTTATGAATAATTCTGAAATGTAATAGCTGGTAATGTTTTGTAATCAAACTATATTGTTGAGGCATGTATTTAATGAAAAAAAGCATGTTTGCAGAATTTGCTAATTACTGCAGAGCATGATGGGTATGATATTTGGAAGCTACTTAAATTTCATCACCTGCAACTGGCATAGGCAGACCCTAGGTGTGAATTTGAAAAGGCTGGGGGGGGGGGGCTGTTCCATTTTTGCCCCAGGGCCCAATGTAGAGTTGTTTTGCCACTGGATCTGGGTGGCGTTATAATTTGCCAAGCAGGAGGGGTGAGGTTGCGGGAGTAAAGATTCTTGCCGGTTGATTGTACTGCACTGAAAAGTAAAACAGCAGATATGTCAGACGTTGCACATCATTCGCAGGTGTCAGCAAGCTGCTGTCGATGTGTGAGAGACTCACGGGAGAGTTGGGATGTCTGGCATTCTGGCTTTCACCCTCTTCTGTGTCACATGCACGTTTAACATGTAAAGATAACCACTGCACATGCTAAACGTTTCTGCTACCGAATATGTTTTTATTTGGTGCCCAGTCTGACTGCCAGTTTTTGGTGGATGCTCTGCTGCAGGCTCACCAGACCAAGGAGGACACGAAGATGAATCCCAGAGGACCCAGTTACCCAATGGCCTCCTTGTATGTCGGCGACCTACACCAGGATGTGACCGAAGCCATGCTTTACGAGAAATTCAGCCTGGCCGGCGCGATCCTATCCATCCGAGTGTGTCGTGACATGATAACTCGCCGCTCCCTAGGATATGCTTATGTCAACTTCCAGCAGCCCGCCGACGGTAAGCGATACAGACATCCAACTCAAAAAACGTATGTTTTTTTTCATTTTTCCATTGTAATTACTCTAATTATAATTTATGAAAGTATGAGAGAGAGAGAGAGAGAGAGAGAGAAACACACACACACACACACTGAGATGAGAGAGCGAAAGGTAGACTTAGACTTGGTCTATGAGATGTAGGTGTGCTGCCTGAGCTGAGTTCTGGCTAATGACAGACAGGCATCCACTTGTAAAGTCTGACATGATGTAAAACTTTCCAGAGCCTAATGGGCCAAACAAACCTTACTGACAAAATGGGTAACATTACTCACCATAGCGTCATTCTTCAGCAAGGCATTGTTAAGGGGAAAAATGGGGCTAATTTCCTTTAATGGAAACAGAGTGACGGAAACAGAATCCTTTGAAGGACATGGTCTGCATAGTCTTTGTAGGCTCCATCCTCCGAAGGTTCCCTAAAAATCGGTACAGTGAATCTTGGGATAGATTGGGCCATGAAGGATCTATCGGGTTTACCACATCTTCTCCAGAGAGTCGCAATCAGGGTTGGTGATGGAATGGTCCTTACAGATGACAATGCAGCTGTGACCCGCTGGGCCGGCTACTTTGAGCAGCTGTTTAAAACTGATCCTCCAGTTAGGATGTTGGACATTTCTGGGTCCACAGTTCTTGAGGCTGATCCTATGATTAGCTGTGAACCACAGAATCTCACTGAGATTCACAGATGGTGAACCAGCTGAGGGTAGGGATCTGTGGTATCCGGGGTGAATTTCTGCAGGCTGGTGGTAAGGTTGTCCTCCTGGCTTTGCAAACAATCTTTGCTTCCATTTGGGAGACTGGTGTCATCCCAACTGACTGGAAAATGGGACTTCTTGTCTCCAGCTGGAAGGGAAAAGGTGATCAAGGTGATGAACAGGGGGATTACACTGCTTTCGGTGCCGGGTACGGTACTTGCTAGGGTCATCCTCAACAGGATCTGTGATCACATGCTTGCCTACCAGCGACCGGAGCAGTCTGGTTTTACACCTAAGAAGTCTACTATTGACTGAATTCTGGCACTGAGGATTATCATCAAGTGCAAACACGAATTTCGCAGTTTCTTTGCAGCTTTTGTCGATTTTCATAAAGTATCCGACTCAGTTGATTGAGTTGCCCTGTGGGACAGCCTGAGACTTTGTGGGATCCCCCCAAAGCTGCTGAACATCATGGCCGACCTGTACACTGGTACAGTGAGTGCTGTGTACAGCGGAGGCAGAACCTCTGCGTTCGTCCCAGTTGACTCTGGGGTTCATCAGGGGTGTGTTCTTCTTCCTACTCTGTTCAATGCTTGCATGGACTGGGTGTTGGGCAGGGCCATGAGGTAGAGCACTATGGGGCATCTGTTGGTGAAGAAAGATTCATTGATCTTGACTTTGCCAATGATGCTATGATCTTCACTGGATCAATGAAGGCTCTGATATGGGCTCTCAAGAGACTGAGCAAGGAGTCTGAGTATCTAGGCTTGAGAAACGGAGTCTTGGACGCTATCCAGTGACCTGAGAAGAAAACTGGATTCCTTTGGTACTGAGTCTCTTTGAAGAATTCTTGGGTAGCGCTGGTTTGACTTTTTGAGTGGTTACTAAGGGAATCCCGAATGAGTGGTTACTAAGGGAATCCCGAATGAGTGGTTACTAAGGGAATCCTGAATGAGGCACGTTAACTGCATTGTGAGGGAGCATCAGATACGGCATTATGGCCATGTGGCACGTTTCCCTGAAGGTGATCCGGCTCACAGGATCCTCATTGCTGAGGGCTGGCTAGACCAGGCCAAGGGGACGCCCACATAACATCTGGCTGTGGCAGATAGACGGCTATTTCCAGAGGATGGGACTGGACCGGGTGTCGGCCAGGGGGGTCACCAAGTGGGATCCCAAGGTGTTTCGTTGTATTGTGGGTGCAGCAATGAGCTGTACCAGTGCATGCTCCCCAACCTGACCTGCCCTAATATGTTTTAATATTAGGTGTGATTAATCAGGATTAATTACAGAAAACTATGCAATTAATTAGTTTAAAAACTTTTTTTTTGGTTCTCAGCCCGAATAAAAAAGCATTTAATTATATTACTGTTACATAAATACTTATTGAATGTGATTTTGAAATTCATTATTTATTTGTTTGTTTAGCTGAACGTGCTCTGGACACCATGAACTTTGACGTGATCAAGGGCAGACCCGTCCGCATCATGTGGTCTCAGCGTGACCCGTCCCTAAGGAAGAGCAGCGCCGGCAGCATCTTCATCAAGAACCTGGACAAATCTATTGACAATAAGGCCCTCTATGATACATTTTCTGCTTTCGGAAACATCTTGTCCTGTAAGGTAATCACGTTGTTACTTAGTCCTGTGAGCCTCCATATTTTGGTTTGAAGCACATAATGGAGAATTGCATTATTGGAATAAAATGAAGTCCCAAATGCATGGTGTAAATTTGTTGATTATATCCATGAATTTTCTCTTCCCAAGGTGGTCTGTGATGAGAACGGTTCGAAGGGCTATGGCTTTGTGCACTTTGAGACCCATGAGGCGGCT